TGATATATATTTTGTGTTGTTCGTTATAATTTTGCTGTTTGATGGATTCAAACATACTCAAAATCAAAAGTTAAATTCAAGAATGTTCATTTCATTTGTTGTATAATTTGTCTAAAATACAATTTTAAGAGTTGAATGATAAATTATAAATTAAAAAATGCATTAATAAAAGTTTATGTATTTAAAATGTTATTCTATTTTTATTAAACTAGTTAAATAACAGAAAACCAATAATTTAAAAATTAGTGAGTGGTTTAATCTTTACTAATAAAACGTCACAAGTGTTAAACAATATGTTGATTAATTATAAAATGTTATATTCTTTTTGAATTAATTCAATCAAATCTATGATAGTCGTTCTCTCCTTCGGATTTTGTTTCCAGCATTTTTCTATTATTTGGTATAACTTCTCTGGTATATTTTCTTTTCTTTGGAGTCGTTTTCCAGACATCACAAACTCGGCTATTTTCCATGGAAATTTGAATGTTTCTATTGGATAAGTATTGCTCCACCCAAATACTTCATACATGGTTATTGCCAAAGAATAGACATCAGCTGGTTTCTTGTAGTGTTCTTTGTTTAGCACTTCAGGCGCCATGTAAACTGGTGTACCAATTCCCTTGGTTAATGTCATGTTAGTCATCATCATATTCACATTTCTTGGACTTCCAAAGTCGGTCAACTTACCATTCACTTTTTCGTTGATATCAAGTGAAAATATTAAAATGTTGTCGGGTTTAATGTCTCTGTGTAATATCCCATTTTCATGTAAATATGAAATACCTTTAGCCGCATCTATCATATATTTAACTCGAAGTTTCATGTCAACTTCTTCACTTGTTTTGTGTTTCATCAAGTCTTGTAAACTCCCATATTGTGCAAATTCGGTGACCATACACGTCTTGCTTGGCACAAACACGGCGCCATAAAAGTGGACTATATACTCACTTCGAAATTTGTCCAACATCTCAACTTCCTTCTCAAACTCTATTTTTTGAGAATCGTCTCCAGTGTTGATTTTCATCTTCTTTATTGCAACACTATTTCCTTTGAACATTCCTTTAAAAACAATACCAAACGAGCCTTCCCCAAGTTTCTTGTCTTCTACCAACTCGTCTGGATCAAGTCTTGTCGTCAGTTTTGAAGTTGCTGTTATTTTAATTTCTTTTAAAATGGGTTTTCTTTTTGTGAATGAGTTTGCGACCAACACAACGCACTCATCCATTTTAGTTATGCATTTCAAAGTCAGTAGTATCTCAAATTCACACGCCTCACCATTTGGCAACACTATTATCTTCGGATTTGACTCAAGTAGATATTTCTCGACTGTTGCACTTTTAGTCGTGATTTGAATTTTCATGCTGTGCTTTGATATGTTCCCAACACATAAAAGTTCTCTTTGTTGTGTGTTGACATCAACGTCCTGACCAAATGATATTTCTGTTTTGTTCACAA